TAGTTTGAAACATATGCCTCCTCATTTACTCACCGGACTGCTGCACGGCCCTGGCGGTGGTGTGTTGTGACGCACACCCGCCGCGGCAGACCGCAGCCCAACCAAACATCCTCCCCCGCGTGGAATTCACACACATAAAAAATACTGCACCCAACAGCGGGGCGTTTCCGGTCGCCGCCCCCGTGCAGCGCACCGTCCTTTACATCCACCCGCTCCGCCTGCAGCCTCCTGCGGCGCCCGTCTCTGAGCCCCGCCCCCTCCCCCTCACGCATCACCCCGCGGCACACGTTTTCGGGTTCTCTAGGCAGCACCGGGGGCCCCCGACAGCAGCGAGAGCGCCCCCCCGTCGCCCAGCACCTCACACAGCCGGTCCACCATCTGCTGATCGGCGTAGTCGCTTATAGTTGACAACTTCACGATCTCGTGCCCGTATTTGCCGCATTCCCGCTCAACTTTCACAAATTTCTTGAACGGGTTCTCCTCGCACCAAAATATCTCGGCCTCCCGCGCGAAGTAGTCTTTGGCAACCGAGGCGTCAATCGCCTGCAGGGCGCTCTCGACTGCCTCAGTGCGCCCGTTGAACGCGGCCTCACTGAGGACGTACCGCGGAAACGGCCCGACGCGCTCCATGCGCTGTTCGACCGTCTCCCAGTAGTCCGCCTGCGCCTGCGCGGGCTGGTGGCGCGTCTCCCAGGAGCACATCGCCGTCACGTCCTTCTCGTCATGACAGTTCACGACGGCGGTTCGCCTCCCACACCCATTCTCCGAAGTTATTGCCGTTCGGGGACGCCACTACAATCATGCCCCATGCGTAGGGCTGCAATTCTGACAACGGCGGTCCTCCCTCCTCCGCCACATCGTAGATAACAAACTCTCTCTCTTCAGGATGAAAATCCAACTGATTCACGGTTTCTTCGATCTTCTCCGCACCCCCGCATTTTGTCACCGTCTTCTCTTTCTTGTCAAACACGTACGCCAACTCGCTTCCAATGCAATAGACAACATAACGAATTGGGTAGTGTTTGTAGTGCAGCAGTCTGTATAGGATGTAGGCGCCGGCATCCATCCACCGCCCGACCCCGTACGTCCCAAGCAGGAAGTGTGGTTGCACGTCAGGCAGCCCGCCATCGTCACAGTGGAAAAGCTCGTGCAGGTCATTTTCGACGATCTGCCACACCCGCTCCACCTCGGAGTTAACGTAGCAGTCGGTGGTGAATGTTCCCTCCCGCAGCAAGTGCGGCCAGCCCTGCTCGGAGGTGAGAACCCTCAGCGTGGGGCGCGGCGGGCGGAACTGGCCTACCTCGTCACTCTCCAGCCCAAAAAATCTGCCATCGTTGAACTCCCACGACTTTTTTGGTGCTTGTCCCTCCTTCACCTCCATTCGCACCGCCGCCTCTTCCCCCACGCCCTCGGGAACCTCCAAGACTTGGCTCCATTTCGCGTTGAACACCGAGTCGTAGAAACCCTCCGGCAGCGGCCGGCTGGCAAGTTCCTCCTCCAGCCTTGCCCTTTCGTTTTCTTCCCGCCCTGCCGCTTCTGTCTTCACCACCTCAAGGGCTGCGCTGAGTTTCTCTGACGCCGTACTAGAGACGCTATACAACCACGAGAAAACACCCCTCAGGTCTCGGAGCGTGACCGCCCCGTTCTCCACAAGCCCGCGCAAATCTTCACGAAGAGCGTACGGCTGGTACGCTGGTAACTCGATAATGCCCTCGAGGAGCACCGTGTCGAGGACGTACTCGTCTGGTCTCCGCGCAAACATCCCCATCGGAACATTGTCGTCGTCGTCCACGGCGCACTTGGGGCCAACGTACTCCCGAAGGAAGTCGTTCAGCAGCATCTCTCTGGCTGGGGCTTCTCCCTCCATCAGTACCTCCTCCACGCGACTCTCAAGGGTCCACTTTGGCCGCGGCGGCGGTGTTTCTTCCGCCCTTCGGCGCTGCGTCAGGGGTTGCTGCTCCGAGTAGCCATAAGGCCCCGCCCTCGTCCGCCGCCGTACCCGCTGCACATTAGTGGTGGGATTCTCCGCAGCAGCAGCAGCGTGAGACCCCTCCTCCCGCCCCCCAGACATTTCTCCCCTTATTTTTTTATACTTCCTTAGTTGTTGTCGTCTTGCGCTGCAGCCGAACACCAACCACCAGCCAAAAGAATAAGAGGAGGACAGGAAAAAAAAGGCGCACAGACACACGACCCCCACGCAGCCACATTCAGCAAAAAAAGAGAGACAGAAAGAAAGTGAGAGGGCCACCGCAGCCCACACGATGCGGGGCACACACACACACGCACGCGGCCACTCACCGCACACACCGCCTGGGCGCAGGGCAGCCGCACTGCACAAGGGCGGCCCCACCACACGCCCACCGCCCACCTGTCGGCGCAGCCAAATGAACCCCACCACCGCACCGCATCGTGCAATCCCGCCAAGCGCCCACGACGACGTTGGCTCCTCCCCGAAGAAAGGGGGGGGGGGCATGTGAGTGCACAGTGCAGGGCACAATACAACTGCGATGGTGCTCCTGCCACACACTGCACCCGCCATTCGCGTCCCCACACACATCTCCGTCTCTCTCTGTGTGCGTGTGTGCGGCTACGCGCAGGTACTGCCCACTCGCGGTGAAAAAAAAGCCAACCGCCTCGTTGCGGCGGCATTTTGTGCCGCAATGC